CTCTTTGACCTTGTGATTTTACATGTCGTTTGAATGGATACGTGGCAGCCATTTCACCTTTAATTTGTGTGGACTTTGGGGTCCCGCCAGGGATTAGTAGTTCCTAAACCAGTCTGTAGAGGCCAGCGTGATCCCACGATTTCGGGTTTCTAAAATTTTATTGTTTCATTAATGTATTTATAGCATCGCATTTGTCGATAAACATCCATTTGAACGAATAGACCTCTGAGGTAGTCACCCAACGTGGACAAACTGACTGCTAGAAACAATCCATACGGATGTTGTCATAATATGTGTATGGCCCCGGTTGCTCCATATCACTCCGGAGGTATTCAAATAATTTTTTCTGGCAGAGAATCCGCCCATTACAACTAGTGTTAGTGAGCGAGTGTTCTGCAGCCCGAACAATGAAGCTTATATATGATTTGCTATCATTAATATGCACCGTCAACCGGTGTTTACAACCCCCCGCAATTAACCCCTGCCCTATCTTAACGATGGACTCAAGACCATTGGTTCAGCTAAACAAACCCGGCTCACAGGACGACCTATATGCCCAGTTATATCGACTAAGAATGCTCAAAAGCTAAATTTTATTAGGCAATTTGATGATTACGAATTTTCTGGTGACAGAGTTCGCGTCTTCCTGCGTTAGTAGTGTTTGTCCGGTTGCGGCACCCTTAAATAAAAGGGGGCTTGTTTATTTTAACGAAATAGCACTAGGGTTCGATGTCAGTGCTATACAGGTCACACTACTTACACTATAAGGCAAGCACATTTTGGGCGGTAATCCATTAGTCTTGCTTACATCGGGTAATTCCCAAGGTCTAATTCACATTGCTTCACACTATGTGCCGCGGGCCTGCTGAGTATTCAACCACAGGAAATATTAGACTTGCCCGAAAGTAATGAGGACTCAGTGGGGGGTGGGAAGACTTGGATCCAGCTAGATTTTCGCCCCTCAGGAATCAGAAGTAAATGAATGAAGTAAATGAAGTAAGTGAATTTATCGCCCAGCTAGATTAAATTTTGTTACCTGTTTTTGTTGTGGCAAACATCTGGCCATTATCAGGGAGTTTAACACAATTCTGGCTGCTGTCCGCTAGACTTTCTGGTAGTGCAGGACCTGATGAGAGGACCTTCCAATCAGCGTTGCTCGCAGGGTCAGTACAGGGCACAAAGCTGACTACTACACCAAAGCTGTAAGGAAATTCAGGTATCAAAACAACGTACCTCATGCCCTATTGTCCTATTTTTTGTTTTCC